GTGGGAGGGAGGGAAGGCATGGAGGGAGAGGGGGAGGAGGCATCTGCGCTGCTCCCACAAAGCGGCGACTGTTGGAACGCTGACAGAAGCATCTGTCATCCCCTGCCTTCACACACTCACCTGCTGTCCGAGGGCCTGACTCTTTCTATCTTCCTCCTTTGCCCCCTCCCTCTTTTTTTCCTCGCTCCTGCCTCTCTGAGCTGTCTTGGTGATTGTGTGAAGCTCTTGGACGCCTCCTTTAGAAATCCCATAAACTGTACCTTCTACCATCCTCACCCTTAATAAATCAGAGCCCTTAATGTCAGACCACAGACGTAAACATGCAGATTTCTATTAAATATGAGCTGCGTATATGTGTGCTCGTATTATTTTAAAGTTGTTTTGCACATGCCTAAATAATACAAGTTCTTGTTCAACCAGTAATACAAAAGGTAACCCTCCAACATGCACTTTAACATCTGTGCAGATGTATGAGAGTCTACTTTGCCAAGCCCTTGCCAAATTAAGCAGTATTTATTAACAAATATTGCTATGGTGTTAATGAATGTACTGACCTGTCTTTTGCGACTACTTTATCATTCTTCAGTGGCACCCCCGTCCATTCCCCTAACATGCTGAAGGGTTGCCAGCAGTAAGGGGAAAGATGCCAATCCATGTGTATGACACACACATAAAAAACACACACAACAACTTCAAGGACACCATCGCTCATTCAAGACCAGGGAAGGTGCCCTTCAGATAATGCCACACAGGAGCGTGTACAAACTCAAAATCAATGATTTTTGATCAATGATGACGTTTGAAGCAGAAAAACAGTAAACAGTATTAATAATTAGACTGAGAAATGGCACATAAGGTTACTTTGGACAAGGTCTCTTGTGTTTCCCCCCCTTTTATAAGAGTTTTTGGGGAGTTTTTCCTTATTCAGAGAGGGTTTAATGGGAGAGGATGTTACATATTGTGAGTCTGGGCTATACGAATAAAATTAAACTTGACTTATAGGTTGTTTCTTAGCAGCACATGTGTATTGTCATTTCAATCAATATTCAAAACTGCAAATTAAAATTGCAGGTGTTACTGACAAGAAAATAGGTTTAGTTTTAACACTGTAGAGACATTTTTGTAGGACAACCAATATGCACGTGTGTGTGCACTTACTCACCTGCATTTACACTAACATACAGAGCACTTCTGCAAAAAAAACGTGCTATATACAACATGTATTTGCTTAACTTGCCCAAAACAGAACTTGTATTATGTGGATTTATTTGTCACCCTATATTTTGTTAATGTTGATTTGGCTACTAGTATTCAGACTCTTACTAAAGTCAAAGTGAAAATATCCAAGTTAAAAATGCTCCCTTACAAAGTCCTGTTTTGAAAATGTTACTTAAGTAAAGGTTTGTAATTATTATTATTAACACATTATACTTATTAGGCAACCCCTGTGGGGTTTATATTTTTTGAATTTTGTATTTAGTTAAGATGTTCTTAAAAACTCACCTGCTCTTTGGCCAGTAAAGTGTGTGCCTGTAGTAGTCATTGTTTTATGTGATTTGTTGTTTCTTGGTCTGTCCTGTTTTTAATTTTCTTTTTTTCTGCAATGTTTGCATTGTACAGAACCTTGTAATTCTGGTTTCAAAAGGCGCTGTATGAATACATTTTACTTACTTACTTACTTACTTACCAGTTAGTCCAAAATTAAGACACATTTGACCAGTGGAAGTCAGCAAATGTTTGGCATTTTTGCCCAAAGCCTAATATATAACATAATCAAAAGATTATTTGATTTTCAAAATTGCTCATCATTATGAATTATATTATTATTTTTCTCTTGACTGACTAATCAGTTCATAGTTTAATCAACTAATTGTTGCCAAATACGCCCATCATGTTTTGTGTGTAAAATCTTTACCTGTAAAATAACTTGCAACTAAAGCTTTCAAATAAATGTAGTGGAGTAAAAAGTACAATATTTCCCTCTGTTATGCATTAGGTAGAAGTGGAAATGCTCAAGTACAGAACATATGGCAAACATTAATCTGTATATAACCAATGTCAAAAACATCCACTTGTTTTTATTGTTTATTCAACCCATGAACCAGCACATTTCACTATGACATCAGAGCTCACCTGAGAGCCTGATGCTCACCTACCTGTGCGTCTCTGTCCCTGTGCTGGTCAAGCTGCTGCTGTAGCCTTCGTCTGTGCGGCAGTTCTTATCTAAACGAGAGACGAATTACTGCCTTTCCTAAAATCTGACTGTTCCCATTCAGGGTTGTCTCATTGCTGTGATGGCCAGAGGGCAGCACAAAAGTAGGGAGGTGATTTTGAATGGCATTGGTCATACATAAAGTAGCCTCTCTCAGCGTGTGAGCGAGGACGCCGCAAAGAAGAGAGGCAGGTTAACAAATGAGTGAGGAAGGATAGCAGGACTTTGTGGCCCTCGGAGACAGAGTGGGTTGGGATGTTCTGCCAACACCTCGTCTGCCAGGGTGAAGGATACACACTAACATTCATATCCACACACACACACTGTCATCTCTCTATAGCTCCATCCCTGGCCTCAGTTACAGCCGTGTGTCTGAGCAGGAACCCCACTAAGCTGGCTGGGGTCCAACACCAAGGTCTCTCACCTCGCAGGCTGGGCAGGGGGCCTGGTAGCTCTTGTGAGTTATTCCTGGGCATGGACCTGGGTTCCACCTCTCTCGTCTCCTTTTGTCTCATCCACTCTCCTCTGGCCCATCCTGGCCTCCTCTTCTCCCTTATCCCCCTCTCTGGGACCCTGTGGCTGATGAGCCTGTCCTTCAACTATCAGCATCTTCTATTGTCTTTAACACACATACACACACAGCAGACTTGAGCTTATGTAAGCTTGCTTGTGTATCTGTGTGGCCACAAATGTTGAGGTCACCTTCATATACTTCCACCATCTGCAGTGTTTTATCAGTATAAAGTACTTCAGAGCCTGGTGGTTGACTTATGTATGTATGTATGTGTTTTTATTAAACGCTTTTCTCTGCCCAAATGAAAACAAACAATTATTCATAAAATGTTTTGGATCATAATTAGAGCTGAAACAATTAGTTGAGTGACAAAAAAATAATAAGGAACAATTTTTTAAATTTAATTGAATTGTCTAGTTTCAGTATAATTGTTGAGTTTTGGACAAAACAAGATATTTGAAGAAATCTGTTTGGGATCCAGGTCTGACATGTAGTTGATTAAACAATACATCAAGGAAACAACTGTCAGATAAACTGATGATTTAAATGATAATTAGTTACAGCCCTAACTAGAATTTAAACTGTAGAAACATGTAGTTTACACAGCAGATCAACTGTTGAAAGAGCTATTATACATTAGGCTACAGGATATGCAGAGTTAAAAAAAAATCATTTGTGAGATGCAATGTAGTAAAATCACAGTTCAACCAGATGCCAGATATACCAGATAATACATTTTAATTTAATTCACACCAAACTCTAAGCTCTTGACTTTATGGAACAAATACTGAGTACCAATACCTGGACAGTAACCCATCACTTTTGCTTACACTTCTTGTGTTAGGCCTGATCTTGCCACTAGATGTCACTGAATGACAACCAATTGGAGCCAGGACGCCAATACAGTGTAAAAAGCCCTGTGTCCATCAAATTAAATATTAACACACTCATGCATATATTATATATGTTATTGAATTTCGGTGACAACCACAAAAACAAATGTAGACCTACATCAGCCCAGAACCAGGGATCAACCTACATGTTATTATTAAGGCTGGATCCTGCACCAGCCTCAGCATCAGTACCAGGGACAGGAGCAGCTGCAGAGCTCCCACTCTGATCCTATTTTCACGTACCAAGAAAACCCGAGATTTACACCTAACCACTGATACTGATGTAACTCAACGTACATTTTGGTAATTTTTTTTTTAGAAAAGGACTCTCGTTTTACATTTGCACCAACTAGTTTCTCTGGCAACGAAGTTTAGCGTGGTCATATATATACATATTTGTAAATTATGGGTTAAAAGCGCATGCGTGGAAGTTGACGCCCACTTTTTTCAGATACGTCCGTGGCTCGTAGGCGATCTTTGTAGCGGGGAGATGCTCGGAGCGGTTACTTTCACAACAATAAAGCTGTAATAAAATCCTATTTGGCGCAATTATGAATCTCACTGTACGTCCACAATCAGCTACTAATTTCTTAAAACGCCCTAAAGCATTTGGGTCAGCTTCATTATAAAAAAATAACATGATACGTGATTAAATAGACTCCCCCGTCCTGCCAGGTAATGGTACGGTCTATCGACGTCCTGCGCGGGAGCGGAAAACGTGCATCCGACTGTGGGGGGGAAAAGCAGCGCTGTCTTTTCCTGGTAAAACAAATTGTGCCGCAGCAACACTGAACTACTAATAATACTCGGCTTTCTAACAGACGTCTGCACAAACTAAAGGTCAGTGAAAGGAGCTGTTGTAGTTTCGGCAGCATGTAGCTACAAGCTAGCTAGCACGCCTGTCAGTGTATGAGGCGTTTCTGCATCTCTACGCTTGTTTACAAAGCCTCGAGTGGCTGCTGAGTGTCCGTGAGATTAACTTGAGTGAATGCACTGTCTGTGTGTAATGCAGGACTGTTTCTGTCACACTGAACGTAGCTGTCATTGTTTGAATGAACTGTGGACTCCAGCGGATGTTGGTGGTGGTTAGGAGGAGGTGCCCTGGATCAAATGTGTGTGCACCTTACCCTGAAGTTGCCTGAATTTGTGCGAATATGTTAAGGTGTTTATTTACTTGTTTTTCATTTTCCAGCATGGCTCGAGACTGGAAACCTGGTGATCTGATCTTTGCCAAAATGAAGGGTTATCCACACTGGCCTGCAAGAGTAAGTGGGCCTTAATCACAGGCAAATGTGTTCATGTAGAACATATATCAGTACAATTAAAGTCAGTGTGCGTCACATTAAAATGCAGATGCAAACACCAATACACCAAAAGACAACGAGCAACCAACATCCTCCCCACAGACACGCACAAACAGTAACTTATCACACACCTGACCTCAGTTTGCTTTTGAATGTGGACACAGTATAATGAGATGTTGTTGTTTCCTTCTGTAAGTAAATACATGTTTTTTTCCCCCTAATTTCTCTACCAGATTGATGAAGTCCCAGACGGTGCTGTGAAGCCATCCAATATCAAGTTCCCCATCTTCTTCTTTGGCACCCATGAAACGTTCGTAACCAAACACTAATGGTCTTTGTTATTTCCTTTGGCTTGCTGGGCTTACGTGGTACCTGCTGAGGTGAAGTAGCATTTAATGTTTCACTTGGTCCAAGTGGCCAGAACAAATAGGAAGTGTTGCAGAAAAAGCAGAAAATCCATTGATGTACGGTCGGGTAGAACTGATAGAGAACATTGTATTTTAGCGTATAGTGATGTCACTACATAAACCTTATTTTAAATTGTGAATGTTTGCGTTTATATAGCGCTTTTATAAAACTGTTGATGTCATGGTGCTCTATTGAAGGTGTTTCTTTCAGTACATGAATGTTTGATGAGTGGCTGAATAGAGTTACCTGTCTGTTTTGTCTGTGTGCTGCCTTCTCACTCACAGTACTCGCAGTAAACACATTACATAACACTACATTGTAATTAAATGGACAAACATTCTGCATTATCTTCTTTGAAACAGCGCATTTCTTGGCCCAAAAGATATCTTTCCGTACCAGCTCAACAAAGAGAAGTACGCCAAGCCCAACAAGAGGAAAGGCTTCAATGAAGGATTGTGGGAGATTGAGAACAACCCAAAAGTTGAGCTTACTGCACCTAAGGTACATCTTCCTCCTCTGTGTCCAGAGACACTTATCAGTACTAATCCTCCAGACGATGTCCTGACATGAAGCTGTTGAAAAACGGCTCAACCTAAAGCATCTTTGCATATTAGTTATGTTAGTTTTTTTTTTTAAGCTCTAGTACTTGTGCACACCATTCCTCACCTCTGAATAGAATGATTTAGATTAACATAGAACTGAGTTCAGCAGAATCTTCTTGACTTATAAGAATGATAACCATTAAAGTGTCATTTCAGCATTGAAAGTTTTCTTTTCTATTCGAATCATTATTCAATCATAGCTGTGTGATAAAAGACTTGTAAAAGCGAACATCTGTTAATATAAGTGAAGTTCTCTAATGTTTAATGTAACATTATCTGAAAGATTTAGGTAGATGTTTTTATATTTATTCCTCAGTGAAATCCGCAACTTTGGTTGAGTCTGTTTCTTCATGTACAGTATATTTACTAGAAAACAATGCCTAATCCATGTCCAGCATCACTGTGTGCTGTTTTTTCCTGCACCTGTTGACATCATTGTATGTGCATAGCTGGTACAGAGCTTCCTGTTTTTGCCAATTTATTTCATTTAAGTAATTGTTTTTTGTTTAAAGCCGGTTCCCCCTGAATCTTTCACTGAAAAGGATTCGGACAGCAGCCCAGAAGGAGAAGAGGAAGCAGACGACAAGGGGATAAAATCCAAAGTAAGTTTTTGCTCTTCAGATTTGTCGTTCACAAGTAAATATACACACAGTCGCTTCACTGCATTGACATGCTACCGGTGTGTTGCTGTGTTGTCAGCTTCTTTCTTCTTTTGCTGTTTTCCTCTAATCTTTCTCTAATATGTATCTGCTTCACACTGAATTACATATCAGTGCAGGAAATAGCTTTCAAAAAGAGACAGTGTCATTTTGTATTAAAGAAGCCTTGTATGCTAAGAGTAGTGTGTGGAACAGAAGGACACTCGCTAACCTTTCTCCTTTTCAAGACTCGTTTACCCCACCACACTGCGTCCTATGCTGTGTCTTGGGTGCATTCAGGTTCCAGGAAGTGAGGCTGAGCAGGAGAATGAGAATGAGGAGGAGGAGGAGGAAGGGTCTCTGATCTCTGAGCAGGTTCCTCAGAACCAGGATGTACGTACTTTGCATGCTGGGATCCCATAAAGCGGTGCAGGTTGCCTCATCCCCTCCCTGTGGGAAAGCATGTCACACTTTGGTGGTTTTTTTAACTGGTGGTTTGTTTCTGTTTGACTCAGAGTTTTTTGCCGGCGGACACAAACTTGTGTTGGTGCTTGATGTTTTGATTAGAGTGCTTCGTCTGGGGTTGCTGTGTTAATGCCACTGAGGTGATAATTATCTGAGAAAACACTGCCTGTGTTGCCGCTAAAAATTGTTTATGAGATTGAATAATATCAGGTAAGCTCAGCTGGCTCTGGATCAAATTGATTTAGGTTTGGCACATTAACTCTGTGTGTGGCTATAACAAAATTAATTGGGAAGTGTGTTTTCCTCTCTGTTTTACTTCTCTGAGACCACCCTGACAACATTGTGTTATTGCTTTCCATTTCCCGCCTTTCCCTGTCCGCATATTCACAAAACTAATGTTTGCAATTAGTTCATGTTATTTTATTTTTGCATGGCTTTCTGTGTACTTTGGAGAAAGGTAAGTTGTGACTCCGTTTATGTCTTCATGTAGTCCGATCAGGGTCAGATGGACTCTTTTTCATTTTGTTTTGACATTTCACCTTCTGTCTGCAATATTTTAAACAATGCATTAACTGTGTCCCAATTCCATACACTTAGTAGAAAGTTAGTATGACTATTAAAAGCCTTTTTGACTGTGCTAATTTACACCATTGTGCAAAGCTGCAAAAATGATCAAATAAATTGGGAATGGTTAAGAAACGACACCAGATGGATCCCTGAAAACCAAAAAAGTATTATAGTTAATTTTAATGGAATTCCAAAGTCAGTTTGTCACATGTCATCACTGTCCAGTTACTTCCTTTTTTTACGTCCTTTTTTGAATAAACAAACTATTAAAAGCCTGAATAGATTTTCCAACAAAACAAAAACCGACATCAATTGCCACAAAGCTGAAAACAGGTGTTTCTTTGTGTTTTAGAGATAGATGGTTTTCGCAGGACAGCAGAGGATGATATACAATAGGTATATCCTTTAAATATGAATTAGTATATAGTACATACTGTGTTAAACTAGTGTGTATGGAATTTGGACACAGTGATTGTTAATAAAACGGCACATGTAATACTGCATAGAGTGTAATATCACAGTTACACAATAGATGGTGCTATTGATCCAACAATTTAAATTGTTCTTATGAAGAGGAGGGTAAAAAAGGGATGGATCATCCAAGAAAGACTGAATATATGCTAAGCTGTCTACTTGATATGTACATCTGGCTTTTATTTCAGCAGCCGATGCTGTTACATTAAAGAGAACTACAAAGACAGTTAAAAGTCTGGATTTTAGACCGTAATGAAGTAAACAAAAGGTGTCACGTTTTAGGGCTCAGCACAGAAAGAATCCACAGATGTTCCAAAACCCAAGAGAGGAAGAAAGAAAAAGGTTAGTAGCATTATTCTTGGGATGAATTCCAGTGATTCTAAAATCTATAAAAAATTGATTGTAGGAAACATTTGAAAAGATGGTATTATATCAATTTTTATTACAGAGCGATGCTGAGCAGGAGACTGAAAAAGACGATGCTCCAGCAAGTCCTGTTAGTCCCACAGGTAAGCAGCATTCTCTCGATATATACATGTACAGCAAATATGAAAGAACGCATTAATCAGATTGACAAACATTGCACTGTTGAATTGTAGTACTGTATCTACTTTTATTTCTTTCATTCAACTAGCCTGTTGCATGAACAAACTGTCTGTGCATGGTGTGTTTTATGCGACCAGGTGGAGAGGGTCCTAAACGGAGAGGCAGGAAGCCCAAAAGCGAGAAATTACTTTTGCTCCATCAGCAGGAGCAGCCAGGCTCAGGAAGTGAAATGTAATTACAAGAAAATGAACACACAACATTGACTCACAATGCAACATTCTCACATAAGTTTGTGTTTCTTGTATGCTACCTTACCCTAGGTAGCCGGCCCAGAATGATCTGTTCCCGCAAGGAAGAAATAATGCTAATATACTTATAATAATCTATCACAATTTTGTCAAACTGGCAATGCACCAATAGTATTGCTCCTAGTCCAACAGACGTAAACACCAAAGTTTCTACTCTAAACTTAAACAATATTAGTAGATATTACTGTGGGCTATACTTATGGGTGCTAGCTTCTATATCTAAACTGTTAGTCATTATAATTACATCCTCATATTCTCTAGTGTTAGGAGTATGTAGTCTTTACTTTCATTTGTCTTAACCATGTCTCTCCCATTCAGGGACACTGCTGAGTCAGAGAGAAAGAGAAAGAGGGCACCAGAGGACAAGTCCAAGAGTGGAGAGGAGGAAAAGAGAAAGAAGGAGGAGAGCAAAGGAAAGGATGCAGAGGGGAAGGAGCCTGAAGCCAAGAAGAAGAAGCAGTCTAAGGAGGACAGCTCCTCAGGCTCTGATGATGAAGAGGCAGGTGTCAGCACAGATATTCTTCAGCTTAGAATGTATCCGTGTGAAACACCAACATTGTTTTTAATGAGGAGGTTACAGTCGTATGCAGTTAGTAAGATGCTTTCATGTACTTATTTTGATTTCTTTCTGTCTCAGAAAAACAAAGGCAGAAAGAAACACCAAAACTCGGACATGGACAAAGATGTCCGGCGGCGGAAAGCAGATGAATTGAGAGAGTACGTATACATACGATGCCCATCAGAGAAGGAATTACCAGAAAATGTTACATTAAATTTTATCGTGAAAAATAGAATTACAAAATAAAATGTATTCCTTTTATCAGGAATGATTTAAATCATAAGAGGAATTAATAGATTTCTGACAGTTATTCTGTCTTTCAGGCCAAACAAAGATGATGGGAAGAAAAATGAAGAGAAGGCAGGAGTCAAGAAAAAGGGTAAGTGCAATTGGTTTGTAAAGGGTGTTGAATTCAAGTACCATCTCTCTCAAGGCTCACGTTAAGTCATAAAATCTTCCTATTTGAAGCCAGTGAAATAAAAGATATTGCCCCTATAGGGAAAGTTGTATTTAATTGATTTGAAGTGAGCAGATGACCTACCTCATTGAACCGAATGGAATTGAACCTGCGGTAATATCATTTAGGGTTGTGATTTAATGTGACCCCTTGTTATGGTTCAACATTTTAATAATGAATCCATTACAGAGGGATTTTCCTGCTAGACTAAACATAAGGTTGTCTCCCTGTTTTGAACCACTGTAGCCTCCTGTTCAGGCAGAGAAATTTCTGTTTCGGTTTTACATTGTGACAAATTGAACTTACAACTGACTTGATTAAAGTTCTGTAATATAAGCTCAGCCATTTCCATCATATTGTTTTCTTTTCTCTTTTCTTTTCCACAGAAATATCAACTGACTTAAAACTCCAGAGACTGCACAGTGAAATCAAGATTTCACTGAAAATTGACAACGCTGTAAGTTCTGTTAATCACTGTCAGATCATTAATATGTCATACCTCAAACCACATACAAGTCCTTTTTCTCCACTGACAACTTTAGTTTGTTATTCAATGTTTTTTACACTCACAATCAGTGTAACAAACAGTAATTAGATTTTCTCCTTCATGCACTGGACTAACAAAGACAAAGGCTCAGACACAGTGTTTCAGCTCAGTCCATAAAATGCTGCGAAACTAAAAGCAGTATGAGTTGGATTCTTTTCATCTTTCAAATATAGAGTGATAGTATCCTAAGATGAAGGACTCTGTGACTCCCATTATTTGGTTGTTTACTACTTGTTGAATCACAGATCCTCTCCTTGTTCTAGCAGATTTTGGATTATTTAGGGCTCAGGTCTGTGCATGACCTTAAAATTATGAACAAAACACTTTAACTGTGACAGTTTTGTGACAGAAGCTGGTCATTCATCATGTCATAAATTTACTGAAACAGCCATGAAGCGACCTCAGCAGTGTGAGAGTAAGACACTATGAACTGTGACATTGTTAGTGACCCTAGAGTGACGAGACATACAGCGACACCAATTTTTTAATGTTTTATGATTTTAAAAATGAATTCCCTTTCTTCACTCAGAGCCAAAAACAGATGGTAGTTAAATAGAGTTATGGTAATTAGTGACACAAACAAACGGCAAACATCAACATTCATCAAGTGATCTAAAACAAAAGTGTTCCGTTTTCTAGTCAGGGATTGTCTGGAACACTGTTCGGCATTCATCCAAAGCTATCGGATACACCATTTTATGTCCATCATTTTGAAATGGTAAAGCAGCATAATACACTATCTTTACATCATGATTCAAGGAAAATTAAAGTTGTCTTTAGTTTGTGCAGTCAACTTACCCCCATTAGATACAGATTTGAAGGACTGATATATCCAATAGAGAACTGTTTTAAATACACCATGAGCACTATACCATAAGTTTGATTATTTGCTGCATTTCTTCATTATTGCTTTATTCCACCCCTCCTGCCTCAACCTCACTAGGATGTGAAGAAGTGCTTGGATGCATTAGATGAGATTGGCACACTTCAAGTCACAACCCAGCACCTGCAGAAACACAGTGAACTTATTGCCACACTCAAAAAGGTATATTTAATTTAATTAATTCAAATTGAATGACAAACTACACCAGGGCATGCTTCTAAGCACTTTGTTGAGTGGTGATGCAAGGTTGTTGTTTTGTTTTTTTTATCCATGTCCTAGATTCGCAGATTCAAGGCCAGCCAGGACATCATGGACAAGGCCACCATGTTGTATAACAAGTTCAAGAGTATGTTTCTGGTTGGAGAAGGTGACAGTGTGCTAAGCCAGGTGCTCAACAAGTCTTTAGCTGAACAGCGGCAACACGAAGAAGCCAAGAAAGGAGCACTGAAGAGAGTGGAACAAGCCAAGGAAAACAACTCAGGTACTATTGATTATTAGTATTATTATTATTATACTATATTATGCTTATTATGCTTATATTAGTTGCGAAAAACGTGAAAGACCTATCTAGAGCCACTGTTGGTAAATCCATTCCGGGCTACTGTAGAATCATTAAAGCAATCACTCATAAATCAATACACACAATAAAGACTTCACTTGGAAAGCTTGTGCTGCTTGACTCAATTTAAAAGACAGTTTGGCCTACAGGGACCGGTAGAGGTAGAGTGAACTGTCCGTGTGGGTGCCGATGAACTCAGAACCGATCCTTCTTGTCCAGTCTTCAGCCGAAGGCCTTCACAAGTCATGTTAGAAGATATCTGCGATGTGTCAGATTGACCATGATTACTTCCTCCAGGCAGTATTTGTGTGTGAGGGGTGCTGACTGTTATGCCTAGTTAGCATTTAACAGTAAACACGCCTAAGACCTTACCTAACCTTACAGACACATTTAGGTCGGCCTCAAAAAGTATAGAGTTTATTCCCTAGCCTACCCCTATTAATCACTAGAATGAATCACTATACAATATCTCTATGCGATATTACCTTGGACTGTGCACTACTGTGATTATTTACTGTACATAGAGCAGGGTTCCCAAGTGTCCCATATTTTAGCTCCTCACGCAGATTGCCAACATAAACCTGGGTGCGTATAAACGTGACTGTTAGTAGGATAAGCTGTGTGTTATGACACTTAAAAGAAGGTTTAGCAGATGTGTAGTGGAACAGTGAGCAAGCACTGTCCTGAATTGTTGAAAAAAACTTGGAAAATCATTTGTTGAAAAGAGTGGGAACTCTGATAAGAGTATATCTATATCTGTTTCTTTTCGGCTCAACTGCTGATTATGCATTGTAATGATTATTTTAATTGTTGTGTACAAGTTACAAATGTACAGGAATAGTAAAAGTAAGGAATCTTACTTATACTACAAGTTTCAAAATAGCTCATAACAGCACAGTGAGATGTTGAAACAGCGACAGTTGGCTAGGTCTGGGGATAAAGTTGCATCATAAGGCTGGTAAATCAATTATGAGCAGCTAAGTCACGTATGAAAACCGCCTAGAGAACAGAGAGGCTCCCAGTCAGTGTCTTCTGTCCTTTCCACGTCATAGGATCTCTGTGGTTGACATTCTCAGTAGAAACACTGACTGTAATCATTAGTCTGCAGCCACATCCTTGCTCTATTGGCTCACTCTTTTCTACAGCAAGGCTTGCCAAATGAATGGAAAATCGTATTTATCTAGAGCTCGGCATGTGCCATCACATGCTCCTGTGAGTTCTCTCTGCAGTGGTTTAGGTTTTGTAGTGATGTTCTGCCTCACTGAGTCTGTGTGTCTCTCTGTGCACCGCCTAAAGACAAGATGACAAATGGTGATATCAGCCCCGATGAGAAGAAGCATGAGACGGAGAGAGAGAAGCTTCTTGAGGACACCTCAGTGGAAGAAAATCACAGGTAGTCTACACATACACAGATAACAGTGAATTGGTGTGTTCCACCTCAATAGTATAAGCACTGGTATACATTTGTTAGACACATCTATTTGACCTTTTCTTTGACTTTTAAAATTTGCCCCTAAAACTGTATAAAATTAGTTTTTTTCCGGTAGTGAAGTCTGGGGTTTGGTACTAGTACTTTGCCTTTGAGAACTACATGAAAAATGTGTTTCGAATACATTATAGCTGGCTAAGAAACATCACTGAGTATAAGGCTTATGTTATATTTTCCCAATGCTTATCTGTCTCTCAGTACTTCCTTACCAACTTCCCTACCCTGTTTTGCCCCAAGCCCTTTGACGCCCTTTGAAGTTGTACTAAAGCTTTAAATATTTAAGGTTAATGTTAAAGTATAGTTTTTAAGTGGGCATTGTAGTTTTCAGCAAATGCTACTCAAACATCAGTAAATTGTATTTTTGTAGGGACTATTTCAAGACGCGGACTAACACATTTGGCGCTCTGGAGAGTAGCATTAGGATAGCGTATGTAGGCTTGACTCAAGATAAAACGACAGCAACCATGTTCGTTGTACTAAAGGAGCATGGCAGCAAGTGCAACAGTGTGGCTCAGTGGTGTTTTTACATTGTTTTTAACAACAGTGAAGGTCCATGGCACAGAGGAAAGAAGCTACAATACTGTCTTAACCTATTTGTTTATTGTCTTTGACTGTAGTGCCCCAAACGCTCAGGAAGAGTCCACTTGAGTGTTGTACATGCGTGAAGAAAAGAGAAGATATTTGCTGCTGTACTCATCCAACCTTTCGTCTTAACTGGGCTGACCAACTGGGATCTCCTGTCCAGTTCCTTTTGATGACTGATAATGATCACTGTTTTCTGGTTTACTGACTCTCTGTCAGTGTTGCTGCTCAAAGGTTTCAGTACATCAAACCCCTCGAAGATAAACTGACTGAATATGTTTTTTTTTTTTTACTTTGTGTAATCTTTACCTCTCAGACAGCTTGTGTGTCATCTGTTGAATCCGAAAAATGACAGTGTAAATAGTAAGAACTTGTAGATCTGCAGCACTGTAAACTTAAGATACTACTATTTGGTTCTATTTTTCAATTTTAGTAGATGGTTTTGATTGTACTCTTTATCATTTCATATGCATTCAGACTGTTTTTTCAAAATCAGTTTGATCTTAACTTCACTTAAAGATTGTTTTGAGTAAAGAGGTTTAGTCATAGCTTTTTTGCATTACCATCTCTAATATTATTGGCTACATTAACATTTGGATGCACAAACAGAAAATTCAGTTTGCCAAAGTTTTTTTTTTGTGAACTCAACATATTCAAGTGTCTGATTTTTAATGTTTGTTGTTTTTAACATAGATGTAAATAAGAGTATTTTTTTGTGCCTGTCTGATGACCTGTTTCAGCATCCAAAAATAAAGTAGTACATACAGAACAGTACTCGCTTTTGTCTTTAATCATATATAGTGATGATCTCAAACACTATCACTGTTGTATAGAGCACTTCACAAAGATCTCCACACTAGTATCCTTACTTGGATTCTCTATTGATGAAGGTTTTTACTAAAACTTTGCCTGTTTCATGTTAATTAATGACTGTTGCTTATGTTGCAAGGCAGATGTCAATCAAATCAGATCGAGAATTAGAATATTAAAATCTTAAATATAACAGGACATTTATTTCCCTAAACTTTGACTTCAATTTCTGTGTATATAGTAATTAACATTTAATGTTCATTGGGAAAATATGTAAAGTGACTGAAACCATGTTTTCAGGGTTAGACAGATTAAAGATCCACAGCCTAGTAATGTTATTTTAAGTATTTGCTAAGCACTAAAGTGATGAGACTGATGTTTACTGGGCTGTTACCGGTACATCTCAGTTTTTAATAAATGAATAAGCTTGAACATGAAGAAATTCAGTAAATGTTACCATTTATTTCAAACAAGATGGTCTGTATAATCGAAACACAAAGTTTTACTTTTTAAAAGGAAATATAAAGTTCCAAAATGTCAAAACATTTCTTTCTGAAATATAAAACATTTAACTGTATTATACAGCATTAAATCAGTTATTTGAGCAGTTCCGTTAGTTAAATGCACCTCGGTCCACATAGGGATAGGCCAGGAAATCTCCCAGCTTGTTGCCTTGAGCATCGTAGTGCAGCATCCGGAAGCACTTGTCACAGAAGAGACACGGGTCGCTTGGAGCAAACTGGTCATTGGTAGTAAACCATCTGGAAAGAGTCAGCGATGTTAACACTTGTATTCACAGTTTAAAAAAAATGCCGAAGCTGTTTACGCATTGCTAAATTTCACACACCTGCCAATGTAGACGTGGCAAACGGAACACTTCTGTGTGGCCACCCTGTGCTTGTGTGTGAGAAGTGGATACAGCTTCTTGTCCAGGCAGTCGTTCTTATGGGTCAGTCTGTAATGTGCAACAGGAGAGAGAAAAAGGACCTAGGCCATTAAGAGTCTGAGCGAGGAGAACAGATTTGCATCACATTCGTAATATCAAGAGTTGCTTTCATGAAGCGGTTACCTTGCTCACACCAAAGATAAAGCAGCTCATAGACGCATCTACTATTACGCACTTCCAAGTCCAATGAAATCGAATTAGCTATGAGGTCTTGTGAGAGCAGTCAATTCTGTCTGACAACGAAGTGCTTTATTTCAACGGCTTGTAGTAAAATTATAGAGATTCAAAAAGTGCTGACAAAAACACATGACAAATCAAACCACCGTATATAACCGCATCGAAGTATAACAGTGTAGTTTATTAAAGTAGACGGTGAGGATGAATGAAAGTCAGGATCAACCTTCTTCAACATGAGATGATTTATTCAACTTTTCAGCCCCATTCATTCTAATTAGACTCTTTCCCACTTATCCAACTAGAAATACTAAAAAAGCCAGCAATTCAGTATGGTGTCAGCTTTTCAACAAATCTTCAAATATTCCTCATCTTTCACACAATTTCAAAGCCAAAAACTCGTTATTAGCCTTTCAGCAGCCAGCATTAACACCTGCAATTTCTTCAGAAATAGCCTTCTCTATTTTATTTAGTGATTTATTCCACCGGAACTTCAGGAGCTCACTTTATGCTCTGTGCTTATTTTGTGTAACGAATGAGGTATGCCACAATAAAGTAAAAAAAAAAAAGACTAAGACCTATAAGGGTGACACACCAATGGCCCATTAAATCACAGCAATTTTAGAGGGCTACTACTGTACATCGCCTATGAAATAGCCCACATGATGTAGTTTCAGAAATGGGATGGTAACTTTCATACTTAGAAAGAGTGTTAAAAAGAAGCTGGGTCACAGAATTGGCCAGCTGTTGAACAATAATGAGAAAAAACACAGCACTAACCTGACGTCTGTAATGATGACGAGATGTTCGCAGTCTCCCTGATGACAGTAGAGGTACGGGAAGCCCACTTTAACTGTCAGATCCTCGAATCGTGTGTCCTCCATCTTGGCCTGTCTGTAGGGTGGGAAGTTGTAGGCCTTTGTCCATTCTATGGTTGTCCTGTATCATAAACACACAGAAGGTACATCATAAAAATGTTCTGTCTGTTCATTTAAAAGTTATACAACACATTAAACTGAAGTAAATTTCCAGTTTCTGGTAGCCGTCATGTTACAAAATACACAAAGATTTCAGTGTGAATGGAAGCAGGTCAAGTGCAATCTTCTGCCCTAAATATTTCTAACCCAGGTCTCTGCTCTGCTTATGAGCATAATAACTATTTTAGTAAATGTCAACATCTTGATCTTGATCTGAACAAGCATCACAAGGAGTCAATTAATATTTTCTCAAACCAAGACGACCCTGGTTCATCAGTAGTTGATTGCATAATCACTTTATTGAACTTTTGTCCATAGAATTCATGGACTGCCCTCCAGTATAAGCCTATAGATAATGCATTATTGCACACAAGCTGTTAACACCTGACACCTGGTAATGCAATTTGTTGAGGCTTCATAGGTTCTAGACTCACTATGTGGATAAGTTTAAAAAGAAAGCCACGTAAAAACGTACATGCTGATGTCTTGGCACTCTGGGAATCGCATGTCGTTGTAGAAAACTCCTTCGAAGAAAAAGAAAGCTGACTTGTAATGATCCTGAAACAGAGAACATGAAAAGATTACTAGGTTTTGTGAGTGGGTTTGCAAATGGTGTGCAAATATTGACAGAACCTTCCCTTACCATACCACACAATAGATACTTTTACTATGAAATTCTTAAATTGAGCGATGTAGTCACAGTAAATACACAGACACCAGTTCCTGTAAGTGTGGATACACAGTGTGACAAAGTAATTATGTTCAGCTCTTGCAGAGTGCTTGGTCTTTCAGATTAACTGTACTCATGCTTACTTTGCTGATGAAGTCTGGAGCCATGTCCGGCGTGTTGCTGAACTCTCCGCACACTTGCAAGTCGCTGACACAGCAGATGGCATCTCTGAGCTCTGCCAAGCTGTGGGAGCCCGTCATCAGCACAGTCATGTGGGGTCTGACGTAGTTGAACTGAGGGGCAATGGAAGGAAAATGTCAGTACCAAAATACTGCCTGATAAAGGACTGTCAGACTTGGAGGGTTTCTGGCACCCTGAGGGAGGTGAAAGCTCACTTTCTCAATAATAGCCGGGTAGTAGACGTTGATGGTTAGAATAATCTCTCCTTCTGGGATCATGTCAGCCACTGCTTCTGGTCTCCTACCGAAAGTTAAACGCTCCTGGAAATCACACAGAAAACCAAGCCTTATATTTAGATACATGAAAGGCTGCACGTGTCTGACACCTCCTCTGTCAAACACAACATTTATTCATAAGCCTACATGACTGTTCAAATGTATTGTTCTATTCTAGCTTGGGATCTTACTGACTGACGGCATTTCAGCAATACAACCAATGGACCCACCAGTTCATCTGCGTAGAGGTCGTGTCTATTCTTGCTGAGCTTCAGAGAAGATTTGTAATCTTGTCTCTTCTTTCTTTGTCTGTTCAAAACCAATCACACAAACACCAAATTTAAATTTGTTTACCTGCCGTTGGTTTATCAAAGACACAATATGCATTGTAACACTTGAGGAAGAGTCATACATTAGTGTTTGCAGTGTTGGATCTGGAGGTACAACATCTGTATCCGGCTCCTGATCCTCAGGGTGGCAACGGAGTGAATCAAGACTTGAAAGGAAAACATGAAAACAAAGTCATGTACCTAGTTTGCAAACATGGTTTCTTTACTTTGCGACTACATCCCTGCGAGAAATCTTAAACTTCCACTCCTGCTATCTAGGTGACAATACAAGCAGCATGTTCTGTCTTCATCAGAAGAGGAGGAATATTTTTATAAACCATATCGCAGCCCTAGTTTCAGCTGTATTAGTATACACGGTAACTAATACAAGATATTTTATGAGCTCTTCATATATTCTGTATGCAATAGCAGTAAACAGTAGTAAAGTACAATAAGAAAGTGGCATGAAAAGAAATGAGTGCTAGAAATTTGTGCAAAAGTAAATGCACTTAGTTACAATACACTCTTGCTTTTACCTCATGCTGTTATTGTCTGTATTATTTATTTATAATTTCTCTATCTCTGTACATTTGTTGTTGGTGCAATACTGGAGTCAAAACAGAAATGTTTTCTAAACATTATGCAGAGGGACATGGAAGTGGAAGAGCTTTCCTCATGTTTGCAGTTTAAAACTATTGCTCTGACTACTACCTGCAGATGGTTTTGAGTTCAGCCAGGGTCTCCGCACCGATCCCCATGTCTTTCGCGAATTTAGCGTCAAACGCGTCCTCGTCCTCCCGCTGGAAGGAGTAGTTGCTCGGCTTCAGTCTGTTCAGCCACTCGTTCCTGAAGGAGCCGATGTGAAAGGGTTTGGTGTTCACATCGGTGTATTCATAATCTGGGATGTTTGTGTTCCGATCTGTCGAGATCTTGGACGCCGCCATGTTTTCCTGAATAACTACGCGGTGCGCGGTGGATCGTGGGTAATGTCGTTTTGCGACCTAGAGAAACTTGTTTTAATAAACATTTTAGCATAGCATAGCCATTTTGAAAAAATTTATATAATGATATGTCTAATATGTATTTCCATTATTTTTCAGTAAAAACATAAACATACATTTCTAACTTACTAATGTTTCATGATTTTTAGTTTTATCCAAAGACTTGAACACTGCCTTGTGGTTAAAACAGACTATAATAGTTATAAGTAAGTTATGGTCAATAGTTTAAATAATTATTATATTCATTTCCATGTGAGGAATAAGGGGAATAGTTCACATTAACATCAGATATGAGGATTAATAGACTAAGAAAAATTAATTGTGACAAGAAAAACAATTCTGTAGGAAGCAGCAAAAGAGCACAAAATGGAAAATTATGAATTTCTTTTTTTTGCCTTCATATTTGACCAGTCATGAACTGCTCCATTTTCTTAAACCAATCAATCAATTGTATATAAAGTGTAAAATCAATGTGCAACATGGTCCCAATGCACTTTACTTTAATGGTCCATTGCCTCTTCAGATCCTTTTCTATGATGTCTGTGCGGGGGGAATAAGGCAGAAATAAGCTTCAGAGTTAGTTAGTGCAGCAGGAAAAATGACAAAACCACCGGAAATAATTTGTTAAGCAGGGACATCACATGCATGCATACAGAAATGTTAACCAAATCTAAGTAAAAAAAAAACCCATGTGCTATCAGAGTGGAGTCAAACTCTTATTGACAAGGAGCAGCCAGAGCAATCTTGACAACATCATTAATAAGTTGTGGTTATTTGTGATGGCGACACCTTTCCCTCCTCTCTTCCTCTCTTTAAATAATTTCTCCCTGGGATTATTAAAGTATTTCTGATTCTGATTCTGATTCCTTGTTTCTCCCAGGAAAGTAACATTTCTCGAGTACTGCAGTTACTGTAAGTAGTTCTCAGGAACTTGTACTAGACCTTTTATGCTACCTTACTCTTATATTTCACTAAGACTTCAGAGGGAAACACTATAGCCTACTTTTTACTCATCGTTTATCCAACAGCTGAAATTATTATTACTATTAAACTTATAAAATACAGTGAATTGCTACAGATTAAATCAGTGGTTTCAAACCTTTTTGTAAACACAGAAAGTTGTCTAGTGAGCCAGTTCCAAAGTGAGATTTCTCCTATTTAATGGGTTTATTTGTTTGAGGTCAAAAGAGGTAGATTTACAAAAAAAAAAAAAATACAGAATGAAAAAACTTTGTTTTGAATTTATTAATCTTACCCGACCTCCCCCTTTGCATCCCTTCCTCATGACCTGGAGATTTTTTTTTTTTTTATCTTGTGAACCCTTAGGTTTGGGAATCACTGTATCTAAATGTAGATAACTAGCCCCACACCTCAACCAGCCTCCAGAAAATTAATTGGCTACTTAAGGCACTGAATAGATAGATAGATAGATCAAGATAGATATATAGATAGATAGATAGGATTACCGGAGTA